CGGCCGATTCTTATTGCGCTTATATGTGTTACGAAGGTTGGCCGACCTGGATCGGCCGATCCTTATGAAGTATGGAAATACCTTTACCGCTAACTAAGGGGCGCGCTATCTCACGATTCTCAAAGCGTTTCAATCCACTCGGAGCAACAATAAACTTCTGAATCGTCTTCGTTCATCAACGCTCCTCATTAAGTTGCCTAGAATTAACACTCAAATTACGTCACCTCATCTGCCTCTTTGCGTTTTACATTGGCTTTTTTAGGGTTTATCCTCGCTAGAATAGCATAATGGCACAAATCTCCCCACAAGTACAACCCGAGGAAATCATCCGTGCTGCTCGAGGTCCCACCGAAACGATAGGCAAAGGGATTCGAACAGTACTTCTTGGACCTCCTGGATCTGGCAAAGGAACCCAAGCACCATTATTATCGGAGAAGTATGACTCTTGTCACTTGTCCACAGGTAATATTCCCTGCAGTGGCTCTATTCTAATATGCTTTTATATTCATTTAGGTGATCTTTTACGTGCTGAGATGAGTTCCGGTTCTGCTCTTGGGAAAAAGATCAAGGAGTATGTTGATGAGGGCAAGCTTGTATCAGATGATATGGTTTGCGAACTTGTCGACGTAAATTTAAATAAGCCTGCATGCCACAACGGTTTCATTTTGGATGGTTTCCCACGAACTGTTGTACAGGCCGAGAAGGTAACTCAAATTTAGCAATAGTTTAATCATTCTGCTTCAATTCCTAATTTTTCTAGTTGGACGAGCTGTTAGAAAAGCGAAAAGAACCATTGGATGTTGTTGTGGAATTTCAAATAGACGATAACTTACTGGAACGACGTATAACTGGACGGTTGTTCCATCTTAAAAGTGGACGAAGTTACCACGTGGACTTCAACCCACCGAAGGTGACTTTTTATGGGTAAGCAGGGAGGAACTCAGGGCGGGAAAAGAACGCAGGGTTTCCACAAATCACCACCCTAAGCTTTAAGACTCATTCTGAAGATTTAGCTAGAACTTGGTTTTCCGTCTATGTGACTTTCCTCTCTTTCCATTATGGTAAAATTACGGCGTAAATTCTCAGAGTTTCTTCACGCTCAGCCCATTTGGCTTGAGATTTCAACTACTACCGTATGTACGGTACGGGTACCGTACGAGAGTATATGGCCTACTAAAGAGTAGAATTCCATGTTCAATGGCCCTTCATGATGAACCATTAAAGCTTGAAAAGATTTGGAGGTAGAGGAGTAATCAATAATTAAACTTGACCATTTTTTGAACTGTTCAAGGAAGTTGTGAGTCAAAGTTGTTCAAAATTTTTTTGCTACCGCTGTTTGAATACTTGATACTTTTATACAATCACTGATGATTTACCATGAAATCATCTTACAATTTAAAAAAAAAGTTACAATTCTGTTTGATCAGGACACAAAGCTCATTGTTTTCAGTCTCTTACAAGTCCAGTGGCATATTTCATTAACGTGAAAAAATTTTCAACTTTTTCAGGAGCCGATGAAAGATGACGTGACAGGCGAGCCCCTCGTACGACGAAGTGATGACAATGTTGAGGCGCTTCGAAAGCGGATGGCTGTCTATCACAATATGGTTAGTGGAGAATTTGAATCTATTTTGACTTTCTAAGTTTTTTTTTCTT